TCATGTTTTGTACCTGTACATGATATATAACTTTTTTTCCCATTCCCCTACACTCCCTTCAACCCCTCCTCTCCTCATTTACAGAAGCTTTGTTTCCATTGTTTCCTTCTTTTCTCTTTTTTTGGGTTTTTTTTTTTTTTTCCCCCAGTACTGGGAATTGAACTCACGACCTTGCGCTTGCCAGGCAGGCACTGTGCCACTGAGCTAAATCCCCAGCCCCTTTTCTTTTTTTTTTGTTTTTACTTTTCCCTTCTTTCCTTTCCCCTCCCTACTCCCTTGTTCCCCTCCCCATTTGAAATTTTCTTCCTATTTCACAATACCTATTGTACATTTTGCTCCTTATTTACACTTTTGGTTTCTCACACCAGAGAATGTGGTAAAAGCCACAAGTTTTATGTGGTAGAAGAATAGCAGTGTAAGTACTTAAGGGCCATGCCCTAGTAGTAAGAGTTCTAAGTTCAAACCCCAACTGTATCACTTCTAGTAATATATAGTATAGTAATATACACTGCTGAGCCTGTGGGGCTTTAGGGCTGTGTTTTGTTTTGTTTTGGCACCAGGAATTGAACTCATGACCTTGCACTAGCCAGGCAGGTGCTGTGCTGATGAGCTACATCCCCAGCCCCCGAGCCTCTATTTTTAGTTATTTCATCTGTAAAGGGAAATGGCATCTTTGTAGGATGGTGAGAATGAAATTAGATTCTGGAAAGCACTTGATAACTGGTGGTAGGACTGGGATGTGTACCCAGAGCTCTTTTTTTGTTTGATTTTTGTTTTTTGTTTTTTTCCGGTACCGGGAATCAAACTCACGATCTTGCACTTGCAAGGCAGGCACTGTGCCACTGAGCTAAATCCCCAGCCCCTGTACCCATAGCTCTTTAGATTAATAGTTACTTAAGAGTTTCTTAACAAGATATTTAGTTATGGGAAGGATTTGTAAGTTATTTTGTTAATGGACCTTGCCATAGATATTCCGATCCTTTGTCTTTCATATCAGTTACCCTCTAGTTTCTGAAACATAATTACGTTAACTTGTTAGTCCAGACGATGAAGAAGAGGAGCAAACCTGCCCAGTGGTGTTTGTGGAAGACGTGACATCTACCTCAGACATTCCTCAGCTACCGCAGTGTCTGCGGGAGGAACAGGAAGAAAAGGAGAGTGACTCCGATTCCGAGGGGCCCATTCAGTACCGAGACGAAGAGGACGAAGACGAGAGCCATCAAAGTAAGAAAGGGAAGGAAAAGCAAGAGAAAATTCTTCTACAGGAAAAATTATTTCCTGGTCTTAACAAGCGTAGAATGAATGGAAACAGACACCTTCTTCCCTGGGGTCAATAATCTGGTTCATTGTTCTTATGCCACTAGGAAGGACGTCTTGTCCCTGCTGCCATCCCTCTGTTAAAACAAACCAGAAGAGGGTGCCAAGCATGTTGAGTCATTTGGGTTTTTATTTGTATCCTTTTGTTTCAAAACTATTCACCCAGGGGTTAGTGGTATAGCTCAGTAGTGGTAGATCTTGTTCTTAGCTTGCCCAAGGCTCTAGATTCAGTTGGGAAGGGAAGGAGCTTCCCTTAAAATATTAGACAGTATTTCCAGGTGTGGCGGGGCACACCTGTAATCCCACCACTCAGGAGGCTGAAACAGGAAGATTGCCACTAGGCCAGTCCAGGCTACATAGTGAGTTCAAGGACAGCCTGAACTACTGTATATGGCAAGACCCTGTCTAAAAAAGAAAGAAATATATAGAGTAGAGAAAAACTGGCAAATGTGTTAAGGTAAAAAGATAAAAAGTATGCATTCCTTCCATATAATGACAAAAGAATAGGACAAAGGAAAAAAATTCCCTATTATAAGACAAAGGGAAAAAAAATGCATTCATATTCACAAATTGTTGTAAATAATGGGCTCCTCATTCCCAAATGTGAAAAAACAGGTTGGGCCAGGGATTTGGCTCAGTGGAACAGCACCTGCCTGGCAAGCATGAGATCCTGAATTCAATTCCCAGTACCCAAAAAAAAAAAAAAAGGCGCAGATAGGTTAAATCCCAGTACTTGGAAGGCTGGGGCAGAAAGATTGCAAATTAGAGGTCACCCTGGCCTACATAGTGAGTTCAAGGCCAGCCTGAACTACATAGGGAGACCCCGTCAAAAAGTAAAAACAAAAAAACAGCAACCAAAATCAATGAAAGATAGAGTAGCAGGCACAGTGGCATGTGCCTTTAGTCCCAGCTCTTCAGGAAGCTGTAGCCAGAAGATCACTTAACCCTATGATCACTTAACCTTTACACAGATAAAGGCCAGCCTTGCTAGGGATATAGCTCAGTGGCATAGTACCTGACTGGCAAGCGCATTTCATTCCCAGTACCAAAAAAAAAAAACAAACCAGACCAACCTCAGCAATGTAGATGCCCCAATCAGTAAGTTAAATGCAAGATATTTTACTATGAAAGCTTCTTCCCTCCCACCCCCATTTTTTTTTGAGACGGAGTCTTGCTATGTTGTTCATGCTGGGACCCGGGATGTAGCTCACTGGCACAATGCCTGCCTGGGAAGTGTGAGGTCCTGCGTTCGATTCCCAGTACTACACACACACACAAATATTCTGTTGTTCAGGCTGGCCTCAAACTCGTGGTGATCCTCCTGCCTCAGCCTCCCAAGTGCTGGGATTATAGGCATGTACCACTACACCTGACAAGGGTGAAAGCTTTTATGTTTTGACTCAGTGAACTGTCTTTTGCTTATATTTTCTCTTCTCTAACAGTTGTTACTAGTGAGAAAAACTACAAGGCTGGTAGAAGTGAGAAGGAATCTTTTGTCCATGGTTGTAAAGTAGGCAAATGACTGAAATTATTTTTAGATGTCTTTAACCTGACTGCCTCTTCTGTGTTTGGTTGGGTCATTTAAAGCCCACTGGGAAGCTGGGAGTTGTTCGATCGGACTCCTGCCCTGCTCCACATGAGGTTGAGCCTTTGGCTTCAAGCTTCTACATTTTTTTCTTCTCCTCATACTAAGGTGCCCTGGCCAACAAAGTGAAGAGGAAAGACACACTGGCAATGAAGTTGAGCCACAGGCCCAGTGATCCAGAGTTGAACTTCAATTCTTGGCCTTGTAAAAGCAAGGAGGAGTGGAACGAAATCCGGCACCAAATTGGAAACACATTGATCCGGTATGCCTTGGCTTATTGGATTTGGCTTGATTATGCTGGGTATATTATGCTGGCTTGATCATGGTGGGTGTTAGATGCATACTTTGTGACAGAGCATGCATTTATCCCTTTTATTTTTCAGTGTAATTTTTAAAAATACAAATTAGAAATAGTTGAATATCCTCTATAAATTTGAAAATTAAGGAATTAATTAACACTTCAGTCTTTGAACCACAGATAAGACATTAGATTTTGCAACAGTTGCTAAAGAAGTCAGGGTAGTAACTCTTACTACTTTTTATCCACTGGCTAAAGCATTAAGAGCCAACTCAATTAACACACCCATAGTATTTATTATATATATTTCACATGTTCCATGTAACAGCTTCCTTTCAAAATATTAGTATATTTTTCAAGTCAACTGGAACCAAAATTGTAGAGAAACTAAATACAGTGCGGCTTCCTACATATTAAGTACATACCTGTAAGAGTCCGGGTATATATACAGAGTTTGCCTAGCACAGATGTTCCTTCCAGCAGAGAAAGGATAAGAAGGTAGAACACTTGGGTGGGTCTCTGCAAAGTAACTTAATGAAGACGTCCATTAATTAAAATATATTTTTCTTGGCGCTGGGGATTTAGCCCAGCGGCAAAGCGCCTGCCTGGCAAGCGCAAGGTCGTGAGTTCGGTTCCCGGTACCGGAGAAAAACCAAAAAAAAAAAAAAATAAAATATATTTTTCTTTCCTGTTTTAAACTGGTTATATTGTGTATGCAGCATCTAGACAAGTTTGCCCCCTTGTCTTCCAGTAGATACTGGAAACCATTATCTGTGACTTCTTTATTTAAACACACTGCCAATCTGTATGACCTTTGTGGTCTGACTGCTGCTGAAATTAAGGGCAATTAGAAGGAAGGAAGGAGAGGCCTCTCCTTCCTCTGACAGTGTCCATAACTCAGAAGTCACCAATCTAGAAGTCAGCTTGATAGATATACTTGTGGCTGTGATACTAAAAAGGTTTTCTTAAGGGAAGATGGTAGGTCTGGCCCTTCACATTTAAGGCACAGAGATTTAGTATCTGTAATTACATAGGTATTTACTCATTCATTCATTTCTTTTGTTTTGTTTTTGGTACTGGGAATTGAACTCACAACTTCCTGCTTGCCAGGAAGGCACTGTGCCACTGAGCTATATCCCCAGCACAATAGATACATGTAATATATTTAGAGAAATAAAGGATAACATTAAAATTTGTTTTGTTTTTGTTTTTTAGTACCAGTACTCAAACTGAGGGCCTTGCACTTGCCAGGCTATGCCACTGAGCTATATCCCTGGCCCTGTTTAAAAAATTTTAAATGTACAGAAAAGTTGAAAATATATATACTTTTTACCTAGAAGTGTTAAAATTTCCATATTTGCTTTAGTGGTTATTGTGTTCATTTTCTCTGTATATGTGCACATTCCTTTTTCTTTTTTCCTTTTTTCTTTTTTAGACTTTCTAAAACGATTTTGAAAATAAATTGTAAATGTAATTCTTTACTCATAAATACTTCAGCATGTGAACTTGTAGGAAGGATATTCTCTTACATATCTGCATCATACTTACTGAATTCAGGAAATATAACATCAATACCGTATTTTTTATCTTTTTTTTTTATACCAGGAATTAAACTTAGGACCTCATGCTTGCCAGGCAGGCGCAATTCCCCCGAACTATAGTCCAGCCCATATTTTTATCTAGTATATCATCTATATTCGATTTCATGAAACATCCCATTAATATCTAGTTTTTGTTACTATAGTAGTGGGGATTGAACCCAGTCTTACACATCCTAGGTGAGCACTCTGGGCCTGAGCAGTATCCCCAGCCCTTTTGGTTGGTTTTTTGGTGTTTTGTTTTTGAGACAGGGTCTTGCTATGTAGTGCAGGCTGGGCTTGACCTCACTTATGTAGTCCAGGCTCACCTCAAACTCACAGCAACCCTCTTGCCTCAGCCTCCTGAGTATTGGGATTACAGGCATGTGCCAGGCTCTATAACTGGCTCCTTTTGTTTTTTGGTTTTTTGGGTGTTTTGATTTGTTTGGTTTTGAGACATAGTCTCCATAAACAGCGCAGGCTGACCTAGAACTCAAAATGTTCCTGCCTTAGGCTCCCAAGGGCTGGGATTATAAGTATGTGCCCCTCTAGCCCATTTTTATTTTTTGTGTGTGGGGGGTTTTTTACTGTGATGTGAGAATTGGTGACATTTTTCCACGTTTTTTGATTAGTGCCTGTTGGCTATACAGATTAGTGAGTTTCATTCTGGCAGATAATGTGCATATAACATACTTTAACCACCTCCAGCCTCATCCCCAGCACCTTCCTTGGCCCCGCTGGAGGGTGTAAATGTGTATTTATTTTCAGTACGGTTTTTTTTTTTTTGAGACAAGGTCTTACTATGTGCCCCAGGCAGGCTTGGAATTCACTCTATATGCCCAGGTTAGCCTTTTGTTTGTTTGTTTTTGTTTTTGTTTTTTTTCCGGTATCGGAATCGAACTCACAACCTTGCACTTGCCAGGCAGATGCTGTGCCACTGAGTTAAATCCCCAGCCCCCTATCTTATTATTGTTTTGGTTTTGACTTTCTAATAAGAGGGCCTTCCTATAGTCCAGGTTGGCCTTGAGCTCACAGCAATCCTCCTGCCTCAGTCTCCCAAACACTGGGATTATAGGCATGTGCCACCACACCTGACTGACCTGGACTGATTTTGAACTCATGATCTTCCTGCCTTGGCTTCCTGAGTGCTGGGATTATAGGTGTGTGCTGCCACACTCGGCAAGTCTGATCTTTTTTGTGGCAATAGCTCATTAAAGCAGAACTAGACCTAGAGTCCTGGCTTTCTATATGTGATATGCGTATTAGAACTTTCAGTGTGAAAAGTGTTGCATAAACAATGAGAGAAATAGGTCCAGGGATATGGTTCAGTGGCACAGCACCTGCCTGGTAAGTGCAAGGTCCTGAGTTTGATTCCCGGTACCAAAAAGAAAAATCAGAGAAGTGAACTGCGTGGTGGTGCATACCGGTAATCTCAACAGTTGGGAGGAGGATTGCTACAAGTTGGAAGCCAGACTGGACTACACAGTGAGTTCATGACCAGCCTGAACTACATAGCAAGACCCTATTTCAAGTAATCAGTAATAATCAGAAAAGCAAACAAAATGTATTTGAAATTTTTTAGCAATTAAGGCAAACTGTGGCCCACAAATCCTTGTAAGCATGATTGAGCAGTGTTTTGTTTTGTTGATTTTTTGAGACAGGATCTTGCTATATGTTCAGGCTGACCTTGAGCTGTGTAGCCCAGGCTAGCCTGGAACTTGAGGCATCCTCCTGACTGAGCCTCCCGAGTGCCCATGGGTGTTTCCCAACATGCCCAGCCCAGTTGGGCAGTTTAACATAAATACCCTTATTTATCTCCTCTAGGCGACTGAGTCAAAGACCCACTCCGGAAGAACTGGAACAACGCAACATACTGCAACGTGAGTTCCGCTAGGGAAGTCAAGTTTACAGACTTTCTTTGTATAAATTTTGTTTACGTAAAAGAAAAAAGTAAAATTTGCTGTAAGGACCAAGGGGAGAGTGTTCCAGCGGGAAAGAATATACTTCCTCTGAGGGAACAGAATTCCCCCAGGCTTCCTGTGGAAGATGTTATCAGGGTATTGTTTAGTGTACACTGATATTCCGGAAATTTTTGTTTTAATTTCTCATAGTATTCTGGGACTGCCTTGGGCATTTCAGAACATTTAACAGTGTGCATTTTGTGTAACGCACATTGGTGTGTCTTTGTGTACCAGTGTAAGTCCCAGTATCACAGTTTTCCTGCTGCTATTCTCTCTTACTCCCAAGGGCTGAGATTAAGGGTATCCGCCACCACATGGGCTCTTAAAACTTTCTTACCTCTATAGCCACCACATTCAACCCTGTATTTAATTTGTTATCTGAGCGGCTGGGGATTTAGCTCAGCGGCACAGCGCCTGCCTGGCAAACACAAGGGCATGAGTTCAATTCCTGGTACTGGAAGAAAAACAAACAAAAAATAATTTGTTGTCTGTGTACATATGTAATTAATTTCCTAGAATAGTGTTCTAGTACAGATTTGATTTGTTTTTCCAAAATTTAGTGTGATATTTGGCCTTAAAAACCTCCTCACTAAGTCAGGCATGGTGGCGCACGCCTATAATCCCAGCACTCAGGAGGCTGAGGCAGGAGGATCGTTCCAAGTTTGAGGCCAGCCTGGGCTACAAAGTGAGCTCAAGGTCAGCCTGAACTGCATACTGAGACCCTGTCTCAAAAGACAAAAAAAAAAACTTCCTCACTAAAGAGCTTTAGGCTTCCCTCAGGTAGTTTGTGCACATGATGAGTCTAACCAATCCATTGCTTACTCTCTAAGCACTATTTGTTTG